TATCGTGTTTTGTGTCTCTTTATTAATAAGGGATTTGTGGACACGTTCGTGTTTTTAGGGGTGTGTAGTAAAAACATCTTTAAAAGTCAAAAGCTAAAATTAGATCCTTGGGGTGCTTTTTTCATTTATTGTATTATAATTCTTTATCATTTGATATTTATTGTTCTGTATTGTACTTCATTCAAGGAGTTTCAGACATCTAAACTGTTCATTAAAGGGGTCATATGATGCTTTTTTAAAGATCATTATTTGGTGTAACAGAATATGTTGACATGCTTTAATGTTCAAAAAACACATTATTTTTCAAATACTGTACATTATTGTAGGTCCTCTATGCCCCGCCTCTCTCAAACGCTTTGTTTTCTACAAAGTCTCTCCTTCCGACAAGCGCAGTCTGCTCTGATTGGCCAGCTGACCCAGTGCATTGTGATTGGCCGAACACCGCAAGCACTCGTCGGAAATGTAACGCCCCTTACCATAATCGCTTCAGCTTTCAAAATAAATGTAAAGACAGGTTACTGAAAGCACGCCTTCTTTCTTTGCGTGCACATTTGGGCGGCATTATGCAAATATTTCCACATAGTGAGGTAGATATGTGGGGGCGTGTTAGAACGAGCCGTTTTAGGGGGGCGTGGCAGAGTCTTAACTTTGATAAAGAATATTTCTTTGGTTTTGAGACTTTAGTCTTTGCAACTTCAGGGATCTTATCTATTCACAATCAGCTTGTAACACTCCAAAGAGAAAGGAAAACTTGAAATCGCATCATATGACCCCTTTAAAACCTTTAGGTTAAATGAGAGCAATCATTTGATTTGCGTTCATAGTATTTCTGTTGTGACATTCTATCAAAATATGGAAAATTAAATGTTTATATATGCCTGTATAAAAGTCATTGATGTCTTTGACTGGATTTTTGCTTTGTCCTCGGGTATTCTATTATTAAGTCACTAGTACATTATTTAAAAAAATTAATTTCAGTAGTTGATTTCGTATTTTATTTGAAATATATCAAAAATAATTGGTCTGTAAAGCTTTAGCAAAAAGTGTGGTAAGATGGCCTTTTTAATCATTTTACACCATTCTTGACCTACTGTGTGAAGTGTGTTTTGCATTGGATGTACCAAAACATTTCCTCATAAGAGCAGTCTTAAACTCAAACTCGCTGTTGTTTTGCAGTGTGAGGAATGGTGGCCAAGGGACAGAAGCGCAAACTCCACAGGGAGGACGAGATAGGAGCATCTGAGTCGGAGAGTCAGCTGCAGTCCGTGTTGGACATCTCCATGGATAAGTTCCACCGCGACCAGGCTTCTTTAAAATATGCACTTAACATTGAGTCAAATCCTTAAATTTAATATGGATCCTTACATAGTTTGCAGGTTACCATTAGGAGTGTCCTTTTCATAGACAAAGGTCATTAAAATATGAGATTGTGTATAGTTTTGGTTTAAAGATATTATAATGTGCAGTAAATGTTACTTGAGCATTATGAATATACTGATGCTGTTTCAGCAGATGAACATGTAGATGCCTATGCAAAATATTTACTATGTCAGTATGAAATTATAATGTGAATATTAATCACTCTTTGTATTCTAGTGTTATAGTTTAAATAAAGTGGTACTTGGTGACATCAAGTGGCCAAATGAGGAATTATATTTAAGAAACATAAAGTTCCTGTACTAGAACATGTCAAATTGCTGTTTGGACAGAATGCCATGCAGATGACTTTCTAATTTAATATCTAATATGTAAATGGAAATAACATGTATGAAAGGGATAAGAAATGTTATAAATGTTATTTTTTTCGTTCAGGCCAACGTGAAAATCGACCGATGTTTTAACGCAGAGTTGTGTAAATGTGAATCTGTGTGTGCGCATATATATATATATATATATATATATATATATATATATATATGTGTGTGTGTATATATATTTTTTCCCATTTCCCCAGGGGAAAATGCCACCACACATAAAATGTAAGTCTGGGGAAAACACTGCAAGACGTACCATTTTCAAGCTATAAAATGCTTACAAGGAAAGGAGAAGCCTTTAAAGTCTGCATGAAATCAAAATTTACTTTATTTACCTTACTAGCGCACATTGCTAGTCTTGATGTGAACAATTAATCTGTGCAAGTTAATCTGCTGAAAAAAATAGTTTGTCTTGGTAATCTTTAATCAAAATCTGAACATTTACTTCTGCTCTGGAATGGCATTCCTTCTTTGATGATGGCTTGGGCAGAATATCCTTAAGCACACCCCTCCAACCGTTAAGATTGTTATGAGTGAGAGACAGAGAGGAGGAGTGCAAAAATAAAACCATGCCCTCTATTCAATATTCCGTTTCAGCTGGAAATACGTCACTACACTGAAATAAAGTCGGCAGCAACTTCCGGTTCAGGCAGACTTTAAAGAGTATAAAAAATACTTCATTTGAATTGTCATAGAAAAAAAATTACAACATTTATTTCATATCTCACTATTAGTATCACTAAAACTAGTCCTAAAATGTACAAAAACAACATGGGTGACAGGAAACGCTCTAGTTACTAATGTAACCTTGGTTCCCTGAGATAAGGGAACGAGCGTTGCGTTGCTGACACTTATGGTGAAACTCCTGTTTACTCCAATACTGAAGCCTGATTTGATCAGGTTTGTGTAGCTGCACGAACCAATAGCGCTTCAACCTGCCAAAAGAGTGCCATTTCGTCAGAATCTTTCGACTGAAGCGACAGTCATCGACATCGACAAAATCGTTCAAGGTATAATACCTGGTGAAGGTAGATGGCGATGACCAGCTGTCAGCCACACAGATATCACCAATAGAAATCAACATACACTCTATGGGCCCGAACCGGGCAGAGTGGTTTAGGACCCTTCTCATCCTCTGAATTGGGAAGAGCTAGAAGGGTGATAACTTCTGCAATGAACGCAGTGGAGAGGGCAGCCTTAAGCAACGGGCCGCAAGTCGCCCGACTGGAGTGGCTCGAAGGAGGACTACAGATAAGTCCCAAGTCAGCACAGTATGAGGACGAGGCGGATTCAGTCTCTGAGCTCCCCTTGATCAAACCTTGATCAGGTTTGTGTAGCTGCACGAACCAATAGCGCTTCAACCTGCCAAAAGAGTGCCATTTCGTCAGAATCTTTCGACTGAAGCGACAGTCATCGACATCGACAAAATCGTTCAAGGTATAATACCTGGTGAAGGTAGATGGCGATGACCAGCTGTCAGCCACACAGATATCACCAATAGAAATCAACATACACTCTATGGGCCCGAACCGGGCAGAGTGGTTTAGGACCCTTCTCATCCTCTGAATTGGGAAGAGCTAGAAGGGTGATAACTTCTGCAATGAACGCAGTGGAGAGGGCAGCCTTAAGCAACGGGCCGCAAGTCGCCCGACTGGAGTGGCTCGAAGGAGGACTACAGATAAGTCCCAAGTCAGCACAGTATGAGGACGAGGCGGATTCAGTCTCTGAGCTCCCCTCAGAAACTTAACGACAAGGTAGTTTCTGCCAGTTGACTGGCCAGCCACGGGAGAGTGATTCGTCGCGATGGCTGCCACATATACTTTGAGCGCCCCTTGTCCAGTAGCTCTTGTAAAAAGGGATGCGTCACAAGAGGACGGGTCCTCATTCCGTGCTGCACACCAGTCAGAGAAGTCTGACCATTTAAGGGCATAGAGGCGTCTTGTAGACGGGACTCTAACCTCCAAAATGGTCACACTGTCATGTCAATGTCACACTCGTGTGGAACTGTAAAGACTGCAAGGGGCCAAACATAAAGGCTCCACAGCTCTGGCTGGGGATGCCAAATCATGCCCCTCGTTTGCGAGAGAATTCCCTTCCTCAGTTGTATCGGCCAGGGGGCTGCCGATAGCAGCTGAATCAACTCGAGGAACCATATCTGATTCCTCCAGAGTGGGGCCACCAGGATCTGACTTCCCTGACCCATCTGATGACGGGCGATAAAAGTTAGTAAAAATTGTCTTCCGAGGCGAAGAAATCCACCTCTTCCCTCCTGGAGACAGACTAGATTGTTTGAACCGTTTGGGGGAAGTAGTCTCCATTCTCCTGGAGCTACATTGCCCCCGGACAGCATGTTTGCCTGGCACATGAACTGCTCTCAACGAGAGGAGTTCACCTATGCCCATAAAAGGAGGCATCGAGCCAACCTGTGAAGGGAGCATGACCTGAGACTGCCTAGGTGATTTGGTGACTTGTATAGCAGTCGGCTCCACCCCTTTTGGCAGGTTGAAGTGCCATTGGTTTGTGCAGCTACACGAACATGATCAAATCAGGCTTCAGTATCAGAGAGAATGTTTACATGGACATCAGTAATCTAAATATTTACCTTATTCTGAATAAGACAATATTATGATTAAGGTGTTTCCATGAGTTGCTTTTAGAATATTCCTTTCATGTTCCCGTTTTACATGTTTTAGTACATAGATCGATTAATGGCACGGCCACGCGACGCCATCCGACGTTCCCTCCAGAATTTCACGTATCAACATACAGTTCGTCTTCGGTACTATACAGTTTTGGGTGTTTCATTTTTAATTTTACGAAAGCTTCAAGTGCAGTTATTTATATGTCATTCTATATGTGTAAACAGTCGACGATGGATAAAAATGTGCCGCCTTTCTTGAAGCCATGCTCTTTTGTTTGCCGTCAAACGGTTGACCACTGCCTTGTGTGTATCCCGCCACAAAATGTGGCAAAAAGTCCTACACGATGTTAATAGTGTGATTAAGGTGTGTACATGTCTATACTGGACTTCAATAATGCGACTAAAATAGAAATACTCCATGTCTTAATTCGATTTGCGTTTACTTCGAGTATGACTTTAGCTGGATTAAAGTAATCAAAACTATCTGTTTACATGGTAGATTCTTAATTAGAGTATTGTCTAAATTGTGTTAATATCGGAATATTGTATATATATATATATACTAACCAGAGTTTTCCCATAAGTGTCAGTGATGCAACGGGGAGACCGTTCAAAAGGGAACTTTATTCCGCTTATAGAAGAGAAGGATTATTTTGATTGAGTGGTAGGTTATTTCAACTTATCTATATACTGACACGTTTATTACAGCTTTTTTTAAAACCTATTTAAAGAGAGCGATAAAACAGGGTGTGTAAAATATAAACTTCCTTTAACTCCACAGCTACACAGACTTATATTTCATCACACCTGCCCATGCAAATGCATCAAGCCACAAAATTACCAAAACAAATTTTATTTTATTTTTCTGTGCATGCATTTCTTAAAACACATTTTGTTCTTCTGACTGTGAACATCAGAGAACTTTTTGTTCCCTACCATCCAACATTGAATATACAATCGCAATGATACAAAGAATATAAAGTACTACAATAAAGACAAAGAGATTGTGTCCAGTATAATCACTGGCTGTCCAATGGTTGCACAAACCTAAATAAAAAGCCAATTATAAAGTGCATCTGAAGTTCTCCACATGACTGGACATCGAGAACCACCATTAACTAGCTATGAAAACAATTCATTTCAAACTCATTGAATAACAGAGTATTGAACGGGTGGCAAGCAGCAGCATTCTCTTCCTTTTTCTATGATCCAGAGGAGTCTTGGTCCATGCAACAACAACAAAAAAACAGTCATTTAATAATCTGAAAAGCATCATCAGTTAGGAATCCTACACAAAACAACACTAAAGAAGATTCACACTTAGGACACAATGAGCAAGTTTTCCACTTCCTAAAGCAATGTCAACATCCCTATAGTCTTGAAGATCAGATTTGGCAACTCCAAACAGAACCCCCCCCCAAATATAATTTGGTTCATGAAAATGTTCTGCTCAGATGCTTCGTTCCTTCAAAGCATCAGAAGCGTGGTTCTGTCCAACAGTGAGGCGTATTGTATTGCACATATTCATACTCGATTGTCTTGACCTTGGGGTGATAAATTGCAACGTGTTGGTGTTACATGTCCAGACGATTTACAAGTGCAGGACACTGTGAAAATAAGTGACCTTATCTGAATGTGGAGAGATCTGGTGTTTTATCTATTGATGGAGTTGTAGGACACTTGACAGTTGGGATCCAGAGGCTTAATTGAGGCCTTCTCAGCCTCAGGTGATTCATCGTCAGGCTCTTGTTCTATTATTGGTTCTTTATCCTCATCGTCCTCCTCGTAGCTCGGCAGCTGGAAGAAAGCAGTCCAGCCGTGCACATCTGCAAGCTTGTGGAAAGTACGAAGGACCAGGAACATGATCATCAATCCCACAAACAGGTAGACTGTAAGAGAAAAGAATGAGAACTCATGTAACCAAACAATTCAGACAACAATTTCAGGTAAAATTACAAGCGGAAATATTTCAGAGCGTTGAAGAACAGAAAAAAAAAAATTGTAATACGATATATATATAGAAAAATCTGTATATGCATGTATATATATATATAGATTTTACCATCGAATGTGAAACATTATTACATGGGATTCTGACATCAACACCTAAAACTGCATTAAAAAAATATATTTGGCTGCTGCTTTGTAGACATTTCATATTTTTATACAACAGTCCATGACTTCATAAAACTATGAATTACATAACAGTAAAAAGTGGGCACTCCATGACTGTTAAGGTCATAAAAGACCTTCATAACTTCAGCTCTAATCCTCTTAAGAGATGGAAATTACTGTACAGGTCATGCTGACGAGAATTTACATTTCCTTCAGCCCGAGGCTTTTGGTGTGAAAGGGCTTTTATATTTGCCAAAAATAGAACTTTTTATATTAAAAGCAAACCCAGCCCAGATTTAAAAAGTAACGCAAAAGTAACGTAACGCATTACTTTCAATAAAAAGTAACCAAGTACCGTAATTAGTTACTTTTTTAGGAAGTAACGCAATATTGCAATTCATTACTTTTAAAAGTAACTCTCCCCAACACTGGACGAATGCAATCGGAGTTATTTAAAAACGCTCTTCTTATAATGGCAGTGAATGGGGGTCGTGATATTGAAGCCCAAAAAAGTGCATCCATCCATCATAAAAGTGCTCCCCACTCGGGGGGTTAATGAAGGCCTTCTGAAGCGAAGCGATGCATTCGTGTAAGAAAAATATCCATATTTAAAACTTTCGAAAATTTAATCTCTTAATGTAAAACATCTTTGGACCCAACTGACTTTCAGTGTATGGATTGAAAAACAAAACGGAGACATTTTTCTAAATATCTTTTGTGTGTCGTACAGATTTGGTACGACATGAGGGTGAGTAAATGACGACAGAATCTTTATTTTTGGGTGAAATAACCCTTCATCTTAATTGCTAATTATACAATGCACATGATTTCTTGAGGGCATAAAGCTTTTAGTGTAATCTAATACAAAGAAGGGTTCAGCTACACAGGTTAACATGCTCAATGAAAGGAAAGCTTTATACAGACACACAGGTCAAAGGATTGATTTCCCATGATACTGTTTGCAGGACCTAAACTGAGAAGTCCAGTTAAAGCAAACAAAGCTTGCACTATGCCTAAACTTAGAAGAGTGACAAAGAGTCATATGTGGGTTTGACAAAAACAAACATTTCATCAAATAACCTTAACATCACTTTTAAGGATAATGTGCATACACTAAACATGGAACTGCGGTCACTCATGCACACTACAATTTGAATGTTACGGTACACATTTGCATTGTACGCAAAAAAAAAATTTCTTTCTCCATCTATGACAAGGACAAACGTATTTCTCAAAAAGAAAGTAATTTATAACCTTACAATATAATTAAGAGGTCTTTGTTCAAACTACTGCTAGGTGCAGATGACGGCTACAATTAAAATGGATTTAAAACATATGGTAGTTATTCTAATTAAACACATCACAAGTACATGAAAAGTATTTAAGCCATGTACACACTGCACTCCAAATACTACACTATAGCTTAATTTCCATTCCCAGACTAATCATGTGCATTGATCTAAACAGAGCTGACCTTAAATATGTCATTAAATCAGTAATATTTAAAACAAAATCTACAACTACTGGATATTATATACTATAGGATAACTAGGAGTTGGCTTTTTTTTTTTGGACAAAGTTCCTGCTATTTGTATGCAATATATCAATTCCATAAATATTTATCACATTGATCAAGTTGATAAATGGAAATTAGTTTTGTTAAGTACGAAGCACTACATTCATTCAACACTGGACTTGGTTCCAGTGCTCCTTTGTTATGGGAAACAAAAAATACTGAATTACTTCTCATTTGAAACCATACTCCACTTTTATCATTTACAGGTGATTTCTGTAAAGATGCACATTTTTTAACATAATTAAAGGGGTGAATTTGATATATTTTCACAACTAACATGATTGAAGAAGATTCGATATTTGATCTGCATAACAATGTGACAACTAACATTGGAGAGCCAAGAACAATTCATTCAATTTATTGAAATACTAACTTCAATTCCATAAATATTTATCACATTGATCAAGTTGATAAATGGAAATTAGTTTTGTTAAGTACGAAGCACTACATTCATTCAACACTGGACTTGGTTCCAGTGCTCCTTTGTTATGGGAAACAAAAAATACTGAATTACTTCTCATTTGAAACCATACTCCACTTTTATCATTTACAGGTGATTTCTGTAAAGATGCACATTTTTTAACATAATTAAAGGGGTGAATTTGATAAATTTTCACAACTAACATGATTGAAGAAGATTCGATATTTGATCTGCATAACAATGTGACAACTAACATTGGAGAGCCAAGAACAATTCATTCAATTTATTGAAATACTAACTTAAAAAAAAATCTTTAAGTAAATATTATAGGTCAAAGGAGTTCAGCTGACAAATAGCTTTGAGAATCCCTGAACTAAGGTTTTGTTGTGCTGTCAGAAATTAGGTTATTAATCCATTTTATTTTAATGAACAGTCTAGTTTTCAATATACAGTCTTTTTTTCGTGAAAATATGCATCTTGTAGGAAAAAGTCCAACACGAAGATGAATCAAAACATTTGGAAGAATACCAATATTGTTTAAAGGGGTCATATGATGCTGCTAAAAATAACATTATTTTGTGTATTTGGTGTAATGAAATGTGTTTGTGGTTTAAGGTAAAAAAAAAAAAACATTATTTTCCACATACTGTACATTATTGTTTCTCCTCTATGCCCCGCCTTTATGAAACGTGTACATTTTTACAAAGCTCATCGGTCTGAAAAGCGAGGTGTGCTCTGATTGGCCAGCTATCCAGTGCGCTGTGATTGGCCGAATACCTCAAGCGTGTGACGGAAATGTTACGCCCCTCACCATACTGTGATGCCGTCTCCCGGAGCGACAAGACAAAAAACATGAAAACCCATTATAAACAAGGCATTTGTTAATTACGGATTATAATGACTTATACTGTCTTTTTTACGTGTTACGTTGCATCGCGACGCGTAAACAAAACCATGTCTGCATTTGTGATCAGAAATGACAAACAAGCACTAACGCAGCACACAGCGTCTTCACGACATGGTGGCAGCAACAATACTACAGCGAGAATAAAAGTTACGCCTTCTTTCTTTGCGTGAACATTTGGACGGCGTTGTGCAAATCTTCCCACATAGTGACGTAGACATGTGGGGGCGTGTTAGAACGAGCCGTTTTAGGTAGGCGTGGTTATTTGAGACTTTAGTCTTTGCAACTTTACAGATCTTCTTTACGCACCAAGAGCTTGTAACACTCCAAAGAGAAAGGAAAACTTGAAATCGCATCATATGACCCCTTTAACATCCTATAGCTACATTCTTTTATAGAAAAAATTATATGCATTTATTTAGTGAATTAGTACAATTTAAAGGCACTGCAACAGAAATAAAAGCTCCACTCTTTACACTTGCTTACAGTAGTTTGTTCAGTTCTGGCGAACTTTGTTTTGCAGCACTTGTAATGTTTGTAATGTTCTCTGAGATGAACTAACTGTAGTATTCTACACTCGCTTCAGATAAAATGGACTACTAATGTTAGAACTGCATCAAACAAACATCGCGCGACATCCGTTCAACTTTGTTCCTGTGAAACTCACCCACTGTCGTGACCATCGTGTTTGCGAAGAACAGAGAAGACGCCAAATCCCAGTTTGTACGGGCTGTGGCATTTTCAAGGACCGACACGCCGTATTTATTCGCTTGCAAAACTTTTTCCAAGAAAGTTTCGAGAGCCGTGGCATTGATGCAGCTCAGGTTGAGTAACTCGGCTTTCAGTGAGTTCAGGTCTGATTTCAGGGTCTCTTCGACGGGCCGCTCGATGGCAGAGAAAACAAGCGCTCCCAGTAGCAAATAAGTAATGTACGCCAATATGAAGCCGATGAGCACAAAGCAGGACCTGAACGCCGTGGACATGATGGGATTTGTGAGGAACCCGATGACAGCGATTCTTAATTTGCTGCAGTGATGTATGTTCGACTCATTGAACTCCACCCTCTGACAGAAGTTGGCCACGGTGGCCAGGAAATAACCTGAGTAAAGTTACACAGTCACATGGGTGATAATATGAGTTGTGTGTGGGGTTTGTAAGGTGCAGCACAACGTTTTCGTTCCTCATATGAGCGCTTTCATTTACACTTAACTGAGAAATGCATTATACCTATAGTGCGATTACTATCGAGAGCTCTCAGTGTATGTGCCACAGTCTTAAAGGTGTAGGCCTACCCTGTCCTTAAAAGATGCACTTACATGAAATAATAGTGTTTTTGGGGATATATCATTAAAGGTCCCATATTGTCAAAAACAATGGCTTTTTTCAGGATGTATGTTCGACTCATTGAACTCCACCCTCTGACAGAAGTTGGCCACGGTGGCCAGGAAATAACCTGAGTAAAGTTACACAGTCACATGGGTGATAATGTGAGTTGTGTGTGGGGTTTGTAAGGTGCAGCACAACTTTTTCGTTCCTCATATGAGCGCTTTCATTTACACTTAACTGAGAAATGCATTATACCTATAGTGCGATTACTATCGAGAGCTCACATAACTGAGGTCTAGGGGCTATTTAAAGGGATAGTTCATCCAAAAATGAAAATGTATGTTTATCTGCTTACCCCCAGGGCATCCAAGATGTAGGTGACTTTGTTTCTTCAGTAGAACACATTTGATGATTTTTAACTCCAGCCG